TCTGAATATGTGCTCCTGTTACGTTTTCTGTCATGGGAACATCTCGTGAGGAAACGTTTGCTATATCTTGTTGCTGCTGGCCCTCTATCTAGTTACTGAAATTTTTCTACATTTCTTGGTGTTTTCCAGCATAGTATGATTTGAATTTTTTTTTTTTTCAATCAAGCTGTTAAATCTGCTGTGGAACTAGCCACGCTGTGTGCTGTTTAGCACCTGCTTGTTATCGAAACCTCTTACCTCTCTGGTAAGAACTTTCAGCACTGTGGCTACATGCAGAATTGGTAGCAAGTTCAAACCATTACCTTTTTTAATGGCTTGGAATATCTGATCTGAGGTTGTTGGGCTGCTTAGGCCCAAACATTTTACAGGAGAGACATGGTATGTGACAACATATTGTAATTTTATTGAACTGAATGAAGGAGAAATTTAATCATTTCATTAAAATTTATTCAGACACCACAGGCTTTTGTCTGGCAAGATCTAGCTTTCTTTTTTTTCCAAAGTGTCATGATTCACAGAGCTCAAGAAACAGGTGAAATAGCCCCCAGACTGTTCTGAGGCTAAACTGCAATGTCTCTACACAAGTTTTTTGGACTTGTTATGAAAAGATTGACAGTTCAGAAAGTTCTTACTTGGTTTGAACTTGGTGACACTAATTTGCTTAAATAGCTTAATGAAGTTTTTCTGGGGGAGGTGTGGGATAAGTGTTTGTAACCAGTGCAAACCAGAGATTATAGAGTTCTATGATAACAGTATTTAAAGGAAACTGTGTAATTATATGTAAAATGTAGAAGTAATGCATTCGGAAAGTAAATTGAGACAGACCTGTTAGCATCATATTAGAATCCTGTGATTTAAATCTCTATAAAAGTAGTTAAAAGGCAATTAAAATGCGATGTCAGAGACTTAAGTGATGTGCATAATGTGGACCCATAATGTTGTTTGCATAGTGCAGGTGATGACATGAGGCAGAAATGTGGAAAATAAGCTAAGGAAGACTTAAGTTAGAACAGCCACCAGGAAGTATTTTAGCATGAAACTGACTATTTATTTTTTGCTGGGATTTTCAAGGCTGATGACAGCATGAGGCAGGGGTAAGTGTTGGGTGTCTGCTGCCCCAAGAATGCATGCTTAATTTTCTGAATACTTTTACAAAGTTTTGTTTGCAATAAAACTATTAAAGTCACAATTATAATGGATAGTTTAAGTCATGCATTATGTACATTAAAAAGTATTTTTTAAAATAAGAAAATACTGAGACAAGTAAATGAGCATCTGTGTTTTCTAGTACTATTAAGCTGATTTGGATTTTAAAACTTGAAATGACCTTTTATGGAAAAATACATGCAGTGAATCTGCAGTCTTTCCCAGATCAGACAGAAGGAATCTAGGTGACTTTTTGTCTCAGAAGTTTTTAGGGGGATATAACCTTCATGAGTTGTATTGGAGCTCCTCTGTGCTTGCCACTGCAACATTTACAGCTTCTGGGCACCTGTCAAGAGGGAGGGTTGGTCTCTTTAGTTGTGAGTATACTGTTCTTGTCTATACAGCTCTCCCATCCTCCCCATAATATGTGAGATTCTTACGTTTCCACTTGATTCCATTTATCTTTGTTTCTACCCTTTGTACCTTGGTGCATAAGAGTTATACTTCAGTTCAGCAAAACCATCCTTGAAATACTGGGTGAAAACCGACTGCTTTAGAATGATAGTTTTCCCCCCATAAATTAAAATAGCAATGTAAAATCAATTTAGTTTTCAAGGTAGAATCATCTATACCTCACCTGCCCCACTCTAAGTTCAATGACAATGGCTCTGTGTCAGTGGGTTCTATGGGAAGATGGGAGAAGGGATCTCCTCCCTTTGGATGAGGGATGATGATTCGCTTTTTCAGTAGGGCTCAACGGTAAGCATTGGAGTGCCAAGCAAGATGAAAGTGTTCTCTACTTTGAGATGAGAACTTCTCAAAACTTCACACAAGTAAAGACAGACCACAACTAATAAACTCAAAGGCAAAACAAGTACCTAAAAATACGTAACAGAGGCATAAACAAAAGGCTAACTAGTAGGATATTAAGTAATTCAAAGGAAGAAGCATACATTATTTATTTACCAGACTGTGGCAACGGAAAGGAAAAACAGTATTAATATGAGGTAAGGTTATCCTATACCTGTATTTTTGAGGATCAACAAATCTGCACCAACCCTCACCACCTGGCCATGTATCAGATGTGCTGCATCTATAAATATTTGGTTGTATCCAGTGTAAATTGACTTTGACAGTTCATGCTGGCAATCTTAGTTTTTCAGCAGGCCAGATTTTTTTTTCTGTGGGAGTGGAGAATTTTATCAGTCTGGAAGACAGTTGCTTTTGCTTAGGATCTGCCATGAGCCAGTGGAAGGAAAATTATCTTCAGCTCTGATCTCATCTGAGACCCTCTTTGAAGGAGCTACAGAAATTTTTTGGGAAACTAGAAAAATACAAGGATGGATTTCTGAATGCATTATGAGTAATTTGGCCAGAGGATGGCTGGCACTTGAGAATTAGGATAAGCAATTCCATTGCCCTAGGTCACCATGAGATATGGTTTTTATTGATCAATACATTGAAGTTGAGGTGGCAGAAAAGCTGCACTGTTTGTGTTTTTTTGGTGGTTTTGTTTTGTGGAACAAGCTGTGGGTTGTCTCTTGAATGCTGGATGACAACTGAAAAGGGGGACAGATTTGGATACTCATTATAAAATGTCAAAATTTGAAAATGCAAATGAGCAAGTTGCATCTAGTTCCTTTAAATTTGTGTGCTTTGGGGCTGAATTCTGGAAGCTTTAGGAGATTTTCAGGGCTCAGGAAGCTGGATCAGGCTTTTGCCTTTAGAATTAAAAATATTTATGTTACTTTGAGTTATGTGATTCTAAAGTAAAAAAGAGTTGCTAGAATGTAGTTCTGTGATTGTCTTCCTAAATAGTTAAGCCTTACATTTTTTCATTGAAGTAGGTTCCCCTGCTTTGCTTTATATGTAGCCAAATTGTTGTTCATGGCAAAAAGTGCCAATGTATACGGCTGAGCTGTCTGTAAATGGAAAAAAGTGGTGATGTTTTATGACAGAATTACTGGTCTTGTTAATATAGTTTGTATGGAACATTGTTATGCTAGCTTGTTTGATCCGTTTTGCCAAGGGCAGTGTTTGCATTGACATGAATTACTTCTGATGGAGTAGCCTGGGTGTTCAGAGTTCCATGTTTCCAAATTATCCATGTTGAATAAATACCACAATCTTGTATTTTTGTCCAGCACCCATAGTAGTGTTGTCATCAATATTTCAGTGTAGCGCCGTGCCTCCTGCTTCTGAATTTTGACTCTTGACACAAGACTCTTGGGAAAGAGGTGAAAATTCACAAGAATGGCCACTGTTGCACGATAGTAATGGAAACAAGTTGAAACATCTCAGCTAATTCAGATGCATACTGGTAATTCCAATGAAACAAAAAGCTATAAACTCTACTGGCTGTTAAACTTGCTGAAAACACAGCATATACCAAGCAATCCATGTGAGCAATGTGGAATATGCTTGTATGGGATAATGAGGGGTAGTGGGGAGCTCAACATGCTTCTTGTTTACTGACATCTTTAGTATCAGTGATGTTTTATGATAATACTGTTTTGTCAGGATTTAATGTACTAGATGTTTTATGATAATACTGTTTTGTCAGGATTTAATGTACTAGATGTTATTAATAAATGTCATCAAATCATCCTCTGCCTGCCCCTGCATCAACACTTTTTTTCACAGCAAATGTAGAACAGCTGTTTTGAAACACTGGGAAATAAGGTATTTCTAGATAATGAGGATGCCTTGAGCATATGGATAAAGCTTATTGGGTTAACTGGATCCAACTTTTGTTCTTCCTCTAGTTACTTTGGAAATAAATGGTGCTAGGTCTGGTTAATGACAACCAATTTAATACCACAAATTTATTGAAATGGTCAGATTTCTTAAAAAATACTAGCAGGCCTACCTAATCCTAGTGTCCTATTGTATGTTTGTTTGTGCTGTGTAAAGTCAATAAACTTACTCAAAACTTGGTAAATGTACAATGATGATATTGAAGAATTTGAAAAGACAGTGTTGGTCCACATCTGTTTGGCTGAATAAATTGCAAGGATAATTCTGTCAAAGTAATAATATGATATCCATAGGGAAAAAAGAAAAAACTGTTTCAGAAGCACTCCTTCTCTAAATTAAAATCTAGATTGTCATGCAGTCTTTTCCTGAGAAGCTTACTAACAACAAATATTAGCAAGCTAATACTTAATTGAACAAATAATTCTGTGTTGTAATATATTATAATTGTTTAGAAGGAAATATTCCCTCAAATTAGCTTTGTATTAGTGTAGATTTTTCTCGCTAACGTTCGTTTGTACTCGTTACAGCTGAACTATTGGAAACAGTTTCCTTCATTCTTTTTCTATCCGAAAACCTCTTTGTTAATCTAAACATAAATTAAAATCTCTGCCTATTTTGTTTTTCTGTCTTAATGTAATACTACTGGAGAATAATACAGAACTGCTGAATTGCTACTTTTATACTGTTTTTTGGAAATGTAGTATCTTAGTTTGGGTAGTTCTTAATGTCAACCACAACTATTTTTTTCCTTTAAATAAATCTACATGATCACTCATTTAAATCCATTAACATATCAGCTAATATATGTTTTTGGGCCCATGGTGTTTATTGCAACATAAAGCTTGTTAAACTAAGTCAAAATGTCAGGATATTTTCCTAGCAAGAAAGAAATAAGCAAGTTTTTCTTCTGAATTGAATTAGTTTGAAAATGCATTTTTAACTAGTCATCCTAAATACAAAATGTATAGTAAGCTTTATTTTTAAAGTAATTACTGTAGGAAGTGGGTTGCTTTATCTACTGATAGATGCTGATCGCTTGTAAACTTATTTTCCAAGATGCAAATTTACTTAATTTTATAATATCTTTTTTCAGGTCTCTGAATTTGGAGGAACAATAGAGTTTTTGCCTACTGGAGGAATGCAGTGAAACTGCCAATATTTCTATCTGGAATTATAAATTTAATATTCAACTTTAGTGTTACTAATTTCTTAATAAATAGTACCTCAAAGTAGAAGAAAAATGTATGGAAGTGCGAGAACAATCAGCAACTTAGAAGGAAGTCCCTCCAGGTCTCCTCGTTTGCCAAGATCTCCTCGCCTGGGCCATAGGCGAACAAGTAGTGGAGGAGGAGGAGGAACAGGTAAGACATTATCAATGGAGAACATCCAGTCCCTTAATGCAGCCTATGCAACATCTGGACCAATGTATCTGAGTGACCACGAAGGTGTAGCTTCTACTACTTTCCCAAAGGGCACAATGACTCTTGGAAGGGCTACAAATCGAGCTGTGTATGGTGGTCGAGTCACAGCTATGGGGAGCAGTCCTAATATTGCTTCAGCTGGACTTTCGCACACAGATGTCCTTTCTTATACTGATCAGCATGGAGGTCTGACCACATCTTCACACCATCACCACCATCAGGTTCCTTCTATGCTGAGACAGGTTAGAGATAGTACTATGTTAGACCTGCAGGCTCAGCTTAAGGAACTACAGAGGGAGAATGATCTTCTCAGAAAAGAACTAGACATTAAGGACAGCAAGCTGGGATCCTCCATGAATAGTATCAAAACTTTCTGGAGTCCTGAGCTAAAGAAAGAAAGAGTATTGAGGAAAGAAGAAGCAGCCAGAATGTCAGTTCTTAAAGAACAAATGAGAGTTTCTCATGAAGAAAATCAGGTAAGTAATTCTCAAAGTTTCTTTGTGTTGATTTACAGCTAAGTATTTGATGTTTTGCTTATGCTATTGTATCCTGTGCTGGAGTAAGTTTGGTGTTTACAGCAAGAATTGTGTGTCTTGATCTATCTGCCTCTGGCTGCCAATCAGTAGGATAGCACACTAATAAGAATCTGAAAGCAGGTTATAATTTCCTTCTGAAAAAGTGTAAATAAACATTCAGAGGTATATTTTGTATAAGGTGTATAGGGATTTAGCTGCCCAGTTTTTTAAAGTTAAAAGAAGGTATGACATTAAATCCCTATACGCAACCTTCTGTAATTCTGTGTTACAGAATGAAGTTGAAGTTGTGTTTTCAGCAATGTTTGAGACCTGTGTCTTAGAAAAAGAGCATCTTGTAAATATGTATTTCAAATGCTTCTGTTCACAACATAACATTATTTTCCCAAAGTTAGAAAAAGACTGAAGTATTTTAATGTGGATGAATAAAATTGTGAGGTCAAGCTTTGAAACTCCATGCTATTTTACAAAGTTATACAAAACAGTGACATAGAAGAGAGAAAAAAATTCTTGTATTACTGTCTCCACACACTTTTTGACTGCTGGTCTTGTTTTAAAGCTGCTCCTTTTTAGACCATCTGTTAACTTTCCCCAGACAAAAACACAATCCTGTGTTTCTCACTCTTTCAGCTTCCCAATCTAAACTTCTTCGCTGGCAGGCAGCAACAACTGAAATTTTTAATTTACTTCTGAGTTTGTGATCATCAGTGCTTCTCGCCAAACTTTCCACCTTTTAGGCATGTCATGAACCTGAAAATATCTATGGCACTAGCAAGCCTGATAAGAGTTACTTTGGTGGAAACTGACTGGGTCTTGAGCAGGAATTCAGTACAGTGAATTAATTTATTATTTTCTTGTATAACTTGTGGATCCAGACTGACAGTAATAGTTACTGAATATTTATTTATAGTGGGTGCACTAGGATGTTGCTAGAACCAATATTATCAAAAATATGTTCACGTCACCTTAGCAATAGGAGGAGTATTCTAATACACTCTGTATTGGTAGCCTTTCGTACGGAAATGGCACATTAGTATATTGTATTGGCATCTGGAATTTGAATCTGGTGTGTTGAGACTTTGCCAGCTGCCAGAGTAGTTACATGTTTGTTTTTTTTGGTTTTGTTTTTTCTAAAAGTTATTTCCTCATCTTGAGGGGAAAGTAAATGAGTCACTCTGTTATGAGTTATCCTATTAATTAACTTATTTCATAGAAGGTCATATATTTTTATTTTCAACAAGTGCTCTTGTTTTCTGCTAAGGGTGAACTTAACAAAAGACAGAGAATGTATTTTACCCTATCTACATATTTAACATGAATCCTTACTCTGTAATAAAATAACATGAAGATGGGTAGCCACGTATTCAGTTGCTAACAATGTCCCAAAGTTCATAGAACGGACCTACTATACAGTGATATCTCCAGTGAGTATTCTTTGTGATCCAGCTACAGCTTCTGTGTGCTTAATAATTCTCTGTGGACTTTTTTTTTTAATTAAGCCAGTTGCTTTTGGACCTATGTAAAATTCTAGTGTCTACAACCTCTTACGACAGCAAATCCTGTAGCTTAACATGTCATGTGAAGAACCACTGCTTTTCATTTGTTTTTGGGCTAGACTTTGGCTACTCTTGCTAGGATTTTCTGTTCCTCATACTGAAAGAAACATTAAATAGTTGATGTCTGGTTCGTCTTGGTGCTGCCTATGATTTTATAGGACACCATCATTACATCCCTCCCTCAGCTCTTTTCCAGACAGGAGAATCTTAGTGCTCCTTTCATGAAACTGTGAAATTTCTTTGATTCTTCTCTGAATCTTTTTCAGATCTATTACTTTTTTTTCTTTGAGGTGAGGAGACCAAAACAGATTGTTTCTCGTAATACAAGTGAAAGTGGGTTATGCGTTGGTGTTAGTGTTTGCCCTTTTATTCTGTAAGTCTCTCCCAGCAATTCCCAACACTCAGGTTTTTTTTTTGTTCTTTCTGGCTTTGGATGACTTTTTTTTTAAACTACTACTGAGTACTGAGCTAATATTTTAATGAAAATATTTATTATAACTGAAAAAATCTTACTAGTGGTTACAGTCAGTTTAGATCCCAGTTTGTTATGCATGAAGGTAGGATTATTTTCATTTGTGTATAACTTGACATTTATCTCAGAGAATTTAATCTGCCAGCCCTTGCCCAGTTTCTTAGTCTTATAAAATCCTTCTTTGCATTTGGCTTTTGTCTTTACTGCCCTGAATAACATAATATTGTGGGGAAAATTAGTGATCTTACTGTTTGCCCTGTTCTTTGGGTTGCTTAGGGGGTGTGTTAGACGGCACAAAGCCCAGCCACAGGTTCCAGCAAAACTCCACAGGGGCCTTCTGTTGGTTTTATGACTTGACCATGTGTTTCTGCTATTTCCTCTCTCGTAATCAAATATTTATGTATGAAAGGACCATCTCTCTTACCTAATTGCTGCTTAGTTTTCTTGGAAGCGTTTGGAGAGGAGCCTTTCTGAAGGAATGGCTTTGCAAATCCAAGCTGGCTGTGTCAGCTAGTTTGTCAGTCTTAAGTATCCATGCAGCTAGTGATTCTTTCAACCAACTAATTTCAATTAAAATTATTAAAAAGCTCTAATTTTAAAGAGAGAAAAAGTGATGTGATCTATCACATCTCTACTAGAAAGTAATAGATCTGTCCTTGTATGTCTGAGTGTTACTGGCTTATGCAACTTTCTTAAAAACTGTGATGTTTCTTACTGAAACACTAAAAAATGTTTTCAGATCGGCTGTGCATGATGAAGCTGACCCTGAATGGGGGCCCTTAGTATCATAGCCAATTTTGGGAACTCCCAGGAGACTGGAGAAGTTCAAATCTAGCTGCCTGCCTAAAAGAGGGGGGTAGGGAGAGAGAGAGAAATAAGTAAATTATAAGGTTGATATTTTTATTGCAGTTTCTGGAAAAATATTGTAAGAACAACAAAGAAAATTATTTGTAAACTCTATCTTTATATTTAAAAAACTATTAACTATTTCTAAACTATAAGGAATATAGGGAAAAATATAAAAAAAGGACTAACACTCAATATGGATTTGTCAAAAATAATGTCAAACAAGCCTGATTGTCTTGGATGACAGGAAAACAGGCTTTATGCATAAGGGAAAAACAGCAGTAACGTACTGACATTAGAAAAGCTTTCTACATTGTCTCAGAAGTTTTTAATTAGCAAGCTAGTGGGAAGCATGTGAGATGAAATTGCTATTCTATGGATGCCTGTCCAATTGGAAGACTGTGTCAAAGTAATTATCAATGACTCATGGTGAAATTGGAAAGATGTCTAGTGGAATATGGTGGGAATCTGTAATGTGTTTGAGACTTTCATGAATGTTCTGAATGATGGATATATATTACGCATCCAGATAATGTCAAGCTGGGAACGGTTAAAAATATGCTGGAAAATAGGTTTACATATGAAAAGAAATTTGGCAGATTGAAGAAATAGTCTGAAAAAGTAGGATATGTTTCAACAGAAAATTGATAACAATTAAACCTTTTGGAAGCAAAAAGAGACTTGTGAGGAAATTTATGGACAGTAAGTCGGAATGTTCCTGGTTATCTCTTGAGGATTATTTTACTTTTGAAACGCTGTGCTCTGAGCACCTGTTCTTTGATAGTACAGCCTAAAGTTAGTTGTCTTGTCTTTCTATTATTCTTTCTTATTCTGTGTGACATGCATTCTTACAGCATGATTAGTATTATTCTATATATGGATTGACTATATACATAGGGGCAGGAAGTGCTCAATGTTTTTAACTATTTAAAGTGGTTCTTCATCTTAGAATCATCCATTTGCAATGTCTCAATTGGAGATTTTGCAGGTTTTTTTTCCTAGGTAGATAGTTATTCTCTCTAATCTCTCTTAAGTGTATTATATAGACGAATTAATGTAGAAGGCTTCAATGGAGAGCAGAAGGCTGTGAGGTGGGAAGAACTGGGAGGACACAAGAAATGATTCAGCAGTATTCATTCCCAGGATTGTTGCCTGTCTGTCAAAAAAGGAGAACTAGTTTATCAACTTGGTCTTAGAACCAGCTAATCAACTTATTAGTGTTTATCAGATGACATGCTACTTTGATGACATTATAGTAACTGAATTAGATTTACTGGGACATCTTTAAAATACACTGTAAACTCAGTGGCACAAAATAATGCCCCTTTTCCTTATTTATAAATGTCGTTTTTTACTGCAACATACTTAATACAAAATGAACCACTGCATGCAATGAACAGTGGTTCTCTTTGATTTATGATATGATTATATGTTGTTAGAAATAAATGGTGATTTTGATCCTTTTTTTCTTACAGAAAACCAGGTAATTTTAATTTGCTTAATGTGTTCTTTGAAAACATATTATAAATGTTGATCATCTTTTGAAGTTTAGTTCTTGTCCTGATATTGTAGGAATTTGCTTCTGATTAACAAGATGAAAAGAAAGGATAAACAAAATAGCAAACAGTTCCTTTGAGAGCCTCATAGTTTTGAGTAAAAACTTGTTCCTTGAAATAACTTATATACCTGTAGCAATATGAATAACTCGTAGATTCTGCAATTAACGGAATAGAACTGATAAAATAATCAGAAGGGAAGGATATGCGTAGTAACAAAGTCAGAGCTGCGATTAGCTACTCCATGTTATTTCACATGCTCTTCTTTTTACTTTGATTTGGGTCAAGTATCTAAGTAGAAGAGTAAAAGAAAATACACTAAGAAATATTCTTCAATGATATTTCCCTTCTTTGTATTAATTAAACTGTATTCCTAGTAAAACCGTGATCAGGCTAATGTATACGTTCTTAAACCAAACCAAACCCAACAAACCCCCGTCAACCCAGACATACCATATGTTTAGTTTGCTTTCTGATGCATTACATATCATACAAGGTACACTTTTAGTTATC